AGGCCCGCCTAGACTGGAATTCCAAAGCTCCGAGCCGAAGAGGCTCAGTTTCGGGGAGCGCTCCTGGAGTCCTTGAAGCGACAGCGATGTGCCTTCACAGAGATGCAGCAGCTGGCAGAGGAGCATCCTGGGCGGACCTTGGGTCGGTTTCACGGATTTCAAGGCTCCAAACGAAGTAGCGGCAGCTTCACTGCATCTGGACCCATGCTGCTCCTTCAGCTGCCTGGATTTAGTGACAGTGCCACAGTCTTCTCTTTGCAAGTTGCTTCGGCGTCAAAGCCCTGTAAGTCTGCCCTGTGTGTACGTCGCAGGAGCACGGCTCTGTCAACTTGAAGCCGCAGCGGCTCCATGGCATTGCTTTGCAGCCGAACCTGTGTAACTGGGACTAGCTGACTAGCGAGTCCAGGGCTGTTTGATTTGAGAGATGGCTGCGTCGGCCAATCCGGCGCCACTGGCAGCCTGGCAGCCCTGAGCTGATGTAAGCCAGGTGAGCCAAAGCCCTGTGCATGGTTTCAAGTCTGCAGCATGAAAATTCCTGCTAGCAGCTACTTGGCACCTACCAGGAAGGGAGGTGCTTAGTTTGCCTTTGCTTGGCAAGAAATTTGCCAACTAGGGAGGCCGACAAGAGCAGTTGGGACAGAGGCGGCCACCTGTGCTGCACACTAGTCATCAGCTGCTTTGCAGCAGAAAGTGGGAAGATGCTCCCATGACGCTGCCGACATAGATCGGCAGCCGTTGCCTTCATGAGTCCGACAGTCCGGCTCGTACTGCGGCGAAACTTCGTAGAAGACGGAGGAAGCGGATCTGGTAAGAAGGTTGTGCGAAGAAGGATGAGCGATGACAGTGGTGCTCAGGGTAGCTAGAAAGCTTCTTGATCAATGAAAACTTCCAGCCGGTGCTCCGGTCGGACTTGCAAGGCAACGTATCCGAAGAGCAAAACTTAGCTCTCAGCACGTACAGAGCATTGTGACTCTCGCAAACTTCCGGAGCCTAATGGAAGAGACTTCGGCAACCGACCTGCGGGTCTGCAGAAAACTGGCCTGAGACTAGATGGCACAGTTGACCACTGCAGAGCTCAGCTTCTCGCGAGTCACGCCACATGCCAGCTGCCATCCCTTCTGACAAAATTGCATCGCTTTTGTTGCTGTTGTGACAGGTTGAACTTGAAGAGGCGGAGGATGCGCCAGAAGCTCATGATGAGGCAACCTGTGCAGACTTGGGAGACATGTGCTGGGTAGCTTCCCTCTGGCATAAAGCAGAAATTGCGCAGGGGTTTAAGAACGAATCTGATGTCACAACCCACCAACATCACGCATAATTAGTTCTGCTCTTTGCATTCAGACAGAGGTGGGACCGAAAAATGGCTAGCTGCCAGCTCCTGCAGCTTAAACATCAGCGAACCTCAAGCTCACTGAAAGAAACTCCGGTAGCCAAATGTAGCCGACAAGGCTACAGAAAACGAAGAAGGCAAACTGAAGAGAGAACAAGCCTTTCACAAGCAAGCAGAGACGGATGTCTACCCAGCAGGCAATGCGGCCAGTGAGTGCAGGGCAGATAACAAAATAACTGGTCACCTCCAGACCCTTCGAGACGTCTAAGAAGCCGTCAAGGGGCGTTTAACGGCGCTACAAGGGCTAGGGAGGCTCAAAGAGCATGAATCAAGCAGCGGGAATACGCGTTGAGTTTTCGACCTCGCCTGAAAGCGGAGGAAGGGTGTTACCTTTGCAGTTAGCGCTTCCGCAGGCTTTTCGATACATCGACTGCCCATCTCATACGTAACACACACACACACACGCGTGCGCGCAGACACAGAACGCACATGCGATAGCACCGACTTTCGGACGAGAAGCCTTCGCGCACCAATACGGCTGAGCTTAGATGGGTTTTTCGTGTAGCGACCACAGTAACGTTCCGAGCGAGGTAAAGCACCAATTAACGAGCTCACCCGTGCGCAAGAAGCACAGCGCAGGCCACCCCAGCTGACGATTTGGACCACCAGCTGGCAGAGCTGCGAGAGGAGGCTGCTACAAGTAGTTCGGGCTGCAACTCACCCAGAACAGCCCAAGACTGGGTTTGCAAAGGTCGACAACCCCGAATTGGCCGCAGCCCGGAAAGTTGCAGCGTCCAAGGCCGGGCGAGACGAATCTTTCCTGATTTCCTGGTGTGTCTTAACCAGAGCCAGGCAGCAGTCAGGCCGCCTGCCAGCCGCGTCAAGACTGAGGCGAGGGGCTGAGAAGCTTGATACACACGGCCCAGGCTGTGTTCCACTTGTATAGGCCGGGCACGTCGCGCTTCTGTCTAAGTCTGCAGCGGGAACGCGGACGCTTGGAATAGGTGTTGAAAGTTTCCCGTCAAAACGATAGACAACATGTTCCAATAACAACACGTTATTCAAACAGCAAACCCACATTGGTTGGGGGCCAGGAAGCACCGGATGTTTCCCAGTTCGAAACTCCAGGCTGGGAGCTGTTGTCTGCCTGCGACTGGTACAACGAAGGAAGATTTGATTGCAGCTTCATGCTTGCATTTCGGAAAGCCTGAAGGCAAGTCTAGCCATTTTGAGCTACTCATGCTGCGAGATGTTGGAAGATTCTGATGTTTGCTAGTCTGGGAGGTTTCAGTAGCCCAGATCATGTGATCAGCGTTCCTGTCGCTCCACGTGCCAGCTATGGCTGCAGCACGGACTTGGGTGCTACACTCAGCTACAGATGCAACTATAATTTGGCGAAGCCGTCTAGTTACAAGCAATGGCTATTTCACTCCTAAATGCGCGATCACATTCTGACACCGCAAATTTTGTTGAGCTGCAGCTGATTGCTCATGTGGCAATTGTTTTGGCAGGGTCTCATGCTGAGGCTCGCAGTCGACAGCAGCAGCAGCATTGGCAGAAGACACACAGGCCCGGCACAAAGCCTTGACAGGCAGCTATGCTTGATCATGACGGAATTTGATTGACACAAGGGTGCCACTTGCAGTGCTGTTTGCAGTTGCTACATCACTGGTCAGCGCAATCACAACGCAGAACGCTAATCGGTCATTGTGGGATGGTTCAGGGGCAATCCGAGAAGAGACCGAGACAGACTTGAGGCCAATGGAGCCCACCTTTCCACCCAGGACGAAGGCCCCGGTGTCCTCGGGAGTGCTGGTATTTCTGCTCTAACAGGGTTGTAACGCTATAGTGCTCTTGCATTGCACCGCAGACCCTAGTCCAGTGTACATGACAATACATGGACCACTCTCGAAAACATTGAATCGCAGCAATAAAGTGGGGCAAAGGATTCGGGGTGTCCCTCTGGATCCCACAAGCCAAGCGGGGAAGCAGAAGTCTCGGGTTCTCGAAACTCGCCAGTAGTTTGGAGAAAGCAGTTTCACTCTCGTCCTGCAGCCACCAGTGCTTGCGGGAAAGCCTTTCGGGCATGGTTCCGAATCTGTCAGCTTGGGGAAAAGCGTTCTGGCAGTGTCCTGGTGGACTTCTGGTGCTTTCCTGCTGCTCTCCTTCTCATGGTTGTCTTTGAGCGGTCTTCTGGTCGTTGTCCTCCTGGTCGCAGAGCTCGTCGTGGGTAGTCTTCCGATGATCTCCTGGTGGTTCCCTGGATGGTGTCCTGGTGGTCTCCTGGTCTGTTGGTAGCTTTTGTGGCTGGCCTCTTGGTGGTCTCCTTGTTGTGGTCGTCCTGGTCACAGTGCTGACTCTGCGCGGTCTTGTGACGATCTCCGGGTGTCTTCTGGATGGTTTCCTGGTGCTGTCCCCCACCGCGTGACCTCCTGGTTCTGATGGCATGCTTCAGGTATGGTCTTTCACTGTTCGCAGATCCGTTGGCATAGTGTACGTGCAAGTAAAAGGTGCAGACATAAACACATGCATGCAGAATTACACACATACAACGGTAGATTGCTTACATGTCAATATAGGTACGATCACGAAGAAACAAGTACTGAGTTGAAGGTGAGCATGAGCGAGCGCATACAGGCATGCAACAAATTGGGGTTCGCTCGTTCACAAAGGGCTGGACGGAGTGTCCCGGAGACGACATTTACGGAGATTGCTAATCGTTGTTGTGCTGCATCTTGTTTGTGAGATCATGCACGCAAATCATCAGTCATTGGTCGATCGGCACAAGATTCATCGACATGCAACGCAGTACCGCTTGTGCTTGTTCTGATGTTTGCTTGCTCGGCCAGGGTGGGAAAGGCAAGAACGGCAAGGGCAAGAATGGCAAGGGGAAGAAGGGAAAAGGCTGGGGCAGGCAGCCCCTTTCTTGCAAGCTTTACAGGAACAGGCCGTTGTTGAAATGATCACTCGAGAGTAGTCCTGCGAGATTAGTTTTGCATGCCTAACTAAGTCATGTGCACAGTGCTGGCAGCATCGATCCAGCACACAGGGCTATTTCCTACCGGCCGGCTGGTTGCAGTGAACTGCAGGCGTTCCATCGGCGGCATCCTATCCCTGGATGAGCCAGATGCTCGCAGCAGAGTGTCAGCTGCTTCTGCATACCATACATTGGGCCGGGTGATCAGAAAACTAGCTTGTACATGGACCTCCTGCAGCAGAATTGAAGATGGAACGTTGCTGATGCTTCAAGATCGATGTGTAACGGAAAGCAGCTTGACAATCCTGAGGGCTGCCAGTCTGCACGGCACCACTGGACTGCAGGACTCAAGACACCCCCTGCCTTCTGAGCGACCCATTTGCACCAATGCGCTTTCCTCTTCGTAGGGAAGGTGGCAAGACAGATCATTCCCGCAGGCATGAATCATCCTCAAAGATAGGAGCGCCTTCGGGCATCGTTTATTGCCCACCTGTGCCTACGACTGTCCCGCAGGCCATTTCCTGTTTTGCGCATGTAGCAAGACACCTCTAAAGAACAGTGCAGACACCCACCCCAAAGTTGAGAGTTTAGGTCTCCACGGATGCTTTGGCCACGTTAGCCCTTGCTACAAGCCACCAGAACGGGCTTCTTCGGCTGTGTATGCTCGTTTCAGCTGTTTGGCCCTTGGAAGGTATGGCGGAAGACCCCCTGGAATGCAGCCTCCTGACACTAGACTTGGGGAATGAGGACGTGTGCATTTGCACTGGAAGCTCCGGCCTGTTTGCGGTTGTGACAGCGCCCCATGTTCCACACTTAGTCTCGTTTGACTGAGAAGTCAACCATGTGTTTTGGAAGGCCACTGCCCTACAGTAGTGCTGTGCCAACTGTAGCTCCAGCTCCTTTCGGACGAGGGAGTTTCAGGTTTACTGGTCATGTAGTGGCCGGCAGACTTTTCCCTGAAGGCCCCGGTGGCGACATGGGGGAGGTCGACAAAATGCCGAGCACTTCAGCTGCAAGTAGCGACACCGTGGTAAAGCAGAGCAGAGCATGCTAAATGCGACAGACAACTCGCAATAGTTACCTAGTTATGGGGATTCCCTTGTGCAGAGTTTGGTCCGGAATTGACCTTTCGGTGCCAGAGGCCGCGGAGACCGCGCCTGGGATGGGAAAGAGGAGCCCGAAGCAAGGCAGGCTGAGGGTGTTGAAAAGAAGATCGCCCTGGAAACACAAAGGCCCAGACTCGACGTTTGAACGCTTCAGCATCATTCAGGATGCTGCGTCTAATGTTGCCGCCGAGCTTCAACTTGACTCCGAGCCAGGAAAGCCAAATCCTCCTGGTGGCGACCCTGGAGAAAAGAGGACAAGCTTCGAGACTGAATTTGGCGCCATGCCAGTCGCCACAAGAGACGTGTCCGATCCTTTCCTTGGCCCCTTCTCAGGTTGTCAGAGGTGTCGCAGGCACCGGTGGGAAGATGGAAGAACAAAGGGTTGGAATAGACTGATACCACCCGCTTCAGAGAGACCGGTGTATTGGACAGTGCGACTGACTGCAGAGTGATGTATGGCCTCTGGTCTTGAACTAACTGGCATCGATCAGCAGCGCATGTGGGACGATCTGATCGGGTCCAAAACAAGTTTTACAGGGTGTTATATTATGAACACCAAGTTCGTTATCAGGTCTCCCAGGTCATCGAGCTTCCGCTCCCCGAGCCTACGATAGCTTCTGTGGCAACACAGGCGGCTTGGCACCTGTGACTGCTGAGATTGCCTGCAGGCTCAGATTCCCGATGGTGACCGATGCGAACAGCTATGACTGGAGTAGGGTGCAAGTGCGAGCATGTTCTGGCACATGATAGGCGCTGTGTTTTTGTGTTCTTGTCGTAGGGCAACCCTTGAGACGCATGCTGCTTGGGGCCACGATTGGTGCTAGCAGCAACAAACCGTATTGCTGTTTGGTCTGAACCTAAAAGGGATGGAGCAGTCACAAATCCTGTGCTGAGGACGACCTGGTCGCTGAATGCAGCATGGCTGAGACGTTGAAGCGTTTTGCGACAGCCCTGTTTACTGTTCTCCAGCTTTCTCGGGTTGTCAAGTTATGGGTGATGACCGTGGCTTGGCCCTGCAAGTCAGAGACTGTAAGCCTACTTGCTCATACACATCCAAGGTGTCACGCCCATCAGTTTGGACGAGGGTCGACGGCGGGAGCCCGCCATATCCCTAGCAGTCCCTGCCACGGCCCCTGAGCTGCAGAAGCATGGACGTTGTATAGCGGGCAAGAACACACGGAGCAAGAGCGATCTTCTCTGAGAAATTCGGGAGAATAAGTCAAAATAAGTCAAAGTCAGCAGACTTCACGGCTTTGAAGGAAGTGGTGGCGCCTGGCTCGATCCCATCGCCTTCCAACTCGGAGACCCACAAGACCCAGGCCCAGGCCTCAGAGAGTTTTTGCGCTCGGAAGTCTGAGCGTTTGAGCCTCGGAGATGTGTTGGGCCAATATCCCCGCCAGACCCCTTGCAAAGAGCCCGAGACATTGCAGATATTGCAGAGGGCAACGCCAGTACAGAGACAGCATACCATTCGAGCGATGCCAGCAGGTTGATATAGCATGCTGCCGTGCTTTGCATGGCTTTGTTCCGGTCGTCCCATGGCGCGACATTCTGGCCCAGGTTTGTGGCATTGGTGGCATCGGCATAGCTGCAGCAAGCGTGGTTCGGCATTTCAGCTTGGATCCTGACGGAAGCCGCCTCAGACCGTCGGAAAGCGGATGCTTTTCTCACGCGTGACTCGAAGGGTGATTGGGTGACTCAGTGGACATGACCATGAACATTCTCTCATTTGCAGGTTTGGTGAAGCTCCGACCCTTCCAGTGGAGCTGTCGCATATGTCCAAAATTCACATTTCAGTGACTAATGACAAGATATCTAACAAACTCATGTGCTCCCGCACTTACGAACCTTGCACACATACCGCCTTCAAGCCGATCCTCGCTCTGCCAACCCAGCTATTCTCCTGGGGCACTTGCCCAGAAACAGACGCGTTTGTCATGCTGCTCAGGTGCTAGTCGCCATGAGCAGTGCCCCAGCGAGGCGATGTCTTTGGCTTGCCCTTTAAGTTTCAGTCGACCTTAATGGGTCAAGAGCCAAGATCCGTCGCCGCAAGCTCAACACAGTTACGCTTCCATGACGGGTTTCGTGAACGCACGTTGCGCATGTGGGCGGCCCTTTGGACAGCTTGTCCGATGTAGCTTGGGTTTACTTTATCCGCCCGCCAGTCCTTCTTCCAGGCCACACCCACGGTCGTCTCTGAGTTTGATGGCTGAGCTCCATTGAGAAAACCACAATGATTCTCTCATTGATTTGCGCTGCCTTGAGCACAGGCATGTCGGCAGCACGCTCATCTCCGTCACGAGTTTGTTGGTATTGTTGCACTTGACGGTTGCGCTGTAGCGCTGCAACATTGAGATTCTCCGAAGCGGCAAAAGACAGTTCGGCAAAAGCGGGATGGTTGTGCAGGCCAGGAGTTTCTGTAGGCGCTTAGAATCGGATATCTTCCGCGTTTCACCACCGGTTGGTTTCCATGATTTGCCAACTTCCTAACGATGTGACGTTTGTTGCTTTCGATGTTCGGCTGGATCGGCACTGTATTTGTCGTCAGGCCTCGGCCTGTGTGAAGAAGTTGGCAGTTTCAGTTGCGTAGGTTTCGTCGATAGATTGACCGATTGCGGGTGGTAGCGGTGAGCTTGGAGATCCTGCACGGTCCAGAGTTCAAAGCATTGTAACGGAACAGCAGCATTTGCTAGCCAGAAAGTGCTTGTGGCTGGTTGTTCGGCGCAGGCAGCACGAGTCTGCGCCAGAGATTCCAGAGATATTCCTCAGTACATGGTTGTTGCGGCCGGGTCGTTTGCGAATCTGCTTTCTTAGAGAAAGCAGTGTTTTCAAAATCAGCTGCTGCTAACCCTATATGTTGCGAATTACACGGCCTCGAGCTCTCTGAGAGAGCTCGCGGCTTAGACCTGCGCCAGAAGCAAGTGCGCAGACTGGAGAGAAAGAAGCCGTCAAGTCATCATCCACAGCCGGAGTCCAGCTGCCTTCTGGTACTCCCGTCGCAACATCCGCGAAGGGCACCCAGATCTGCCCGGTATTGACTTGAAACGACCCCTGTAAGTCACGGCAGCGAAATCTTGAGCAACTACACACTTCGACATCCTTCCAAAAAACCGAGCGTTGCTTTCCACGCCTTGTCCTGATTTGTTTGCATTGCATGTTTAGGAGCCTGTTTCGGGACAGCCACAGATGCTCCTGCCATGCCCTCCTGCAGACATGCACAGACAGGACTTCGAGTCTGGACAGCTGAAGCGCTTTGCAGATACCTCGGACAGAAGGCCACGGCACAGTACCGACATGGGTCAGAGATTCAGGGGTTGCCAACAGGGCTAGAATCCAGGTGTGGGGGTCGATGGGTGGGTTCTTTAGCTTCAGACCTGACGAGCGAGACATGTTGTGGGTTACTGCCATTGCTGTTCCGAGAAGAGTGTAACGTAGTGTGCTTGCGCATTCCCGCAAGGCCAGGATTACTTCGCACGGGCCCAAGTTCTACACAGTTTCACCCGGTGTGGTCATGGATTTTGACCCTTTGGGCATCGTTGCAAAGCACTATGCACTGCGCTGGCTTGCACCCAAGGACCGAAGGTGGAAACCACCGAGGCCAGTCATCGGTGATTGTAGCCCCAGAAAAGGCACGAAAAAAGCTTTTGGGACACAAGCAAGGACGAACTGTCCCGTGATTTTTCCCTCTTGAAAACCCTCTTGTGCCGAGTGCCCGGCAGGCTTCAGGTTATTCGAGGCGGAAGCCTGTCGCCAGCTCAATTCAGCGGGATATCGCCCAAATTGCCACAATCTGTAAAAAGGTCGCTTCAGGTCCTTCGAGTTTCTGAGGCTGTGGCGTTCGGTTGCCTTACATTCTCGGGTGACTTGAGGTTTCGGACGGGGCATGTGTTCAGAACCTCCCTCTCAGGCCGGACCTGTTCCACAACCTCCGCGCAAGCTCGCGAAGGACGCTAAGGGACTGCTGAGCAAGCGGCCTCATTCGTTGAAGCCAGGTTGATGATCTAGGTGCACTACAACGGTGGCGCGTATTAAACAAATTAAACGACTTTCTCGCAATATCAATTTAGAGTAGCCTGTGCTGGCATAGTGATGATGATGACGATGCTGCCGCTGCTGCTGCTGCTGCTGCTGCTGCTGCTGCTTTTGGTGATGGTGATGGTGATGGTGACTGTGATGGAGCTTCGCGTAGCTGTGTCAGAGATCAAAAGAGTCATCAAGCGCAGTGCAGGGAACACCAACATTGGCGGTGATGACACCACCTCCCAACGTGGCTTGGCTGGCATCGGAATGTCGAATTGCATGCTCCTGGTTGGCATGATGCCTCGCCAAGGCAGATGATTTCAGTGACATCTGAAACTGACCGGCCAACGCAGCTCTTGCCCTGAGACGGTAGAAAGGTAGACGAAAGACACTCTTTACTAGGTCCAAAGTAAGAGCCGACGCTCCCCGACCACGCCGTGTGCGTCTACAAGAAAGCCATGTCCGAGCTGGAGTCTGCAGAAGCTTTCACAGCCCTCGTAACCCTTGAGCTGCATGTCCTTTTCCGCATGCCATTTAGCTTTCAAACACCTGCGCCAAAGCTGGGCCGAGGCCGGAGAAGCAGAAGCGGAATTTGAATTAAGTGTGATAAACTTGCTGCGCGAAGGTGGAGGTGGTTCAGGTGCTGGAGAACTCTGATGGTAGTGTCTTGGCTTGTCTTGGCCTCTCACATGTGCTCGAGAGTACGGAATTCGCGCGCGAGAATGCACCGTGTCTCGGATGCCATCCTTTGCTGCTGCTATGCGAGCTCATGCAAAACCACTTCAACATTAGCATGAGCCGGTTCTCATTGTTCTCATGGCCGACCAAACATTGAGACCCAACAGCCAAAACAGCAGCTAGACACTGCAGAATGTAGGCACTCCACAGTCTAGAGCTCTGGAGTATCCGAGCTGTTAGCAGGTGCACACATGCAGCCTGCAGGCACTTTTTGCTACAATTGGCCGTGATGTCGGCCGGCTCGTGCTTATGGGCCGGCGGGCCAGGAGACGTCCTTCGCTGTTCAGCTACTACTGGTACCTTCTTTCATTCGGAAGCTGAGAGCTCTTCCACTTCTACTGGAGCTGATTAGGCTGTGATTCGCACGCTTCTCGCTGCCTTTGGATCTCCGTGTTGACCTGACAGTCCTGCTACTGGCAAGGATGGAAAAGGGTGTATAGTGAATGAACCATAAGAGAGTGCAAGAGAGCATGCATAGCTGTTAAGACAGTCAGCTAAGTCGAAGCCATAGTGTTTCGGCCGTCTTTTTGGGCGCCTGTTCTAAAGCCTGAATTCACAAGGCTAAGCGTATTTTGCTTCTCGGGCTTTGTCGGGTGAATGTCTTCCCAATGGCAATCTCCATGGAATGCTGCTGAGCGCAAAGCCACCAGAAAGATGCTGATGTCCATGCTGCGGACTGCACTCTGGCTGCAAAACCTGTCGATAAGCATTCACCTGCACACGTCGTTGCTCCCGCCAAGCAGGGATATGAAAATCCGCAAGGCGTCGATCTCCAGAGTCGCGACTGCTCTGGCGATACCGGTGTCATGCCTCGTCACTTGACGGGACCAAGAAGTAGCAGCCTGTGTCATGAGCCGAGTTGAGTGGTTTTGGGCAAAGTCCGATCGAGCGGGCTGCCTTTGAACATGTTTCGGTTGAAATTTTAACGGCAGTGCGGCACATGCTAGGTTTTTGGGGACAGGGAAGGCCAGCAGCTAACAGGCCCTCTCAAGCAGGTGCTAAAGATTGCTAAACGAGTCACGTCCCTTCATTTGCCCCGCCACATTCGAGCAGGACTTATGCCGCAGGGGTGATTCCTTAATGAGAATTTCAGGGCTCTGCTCACCCAGGTCTACATGCTGTCTTCTTCCTGGGTGCTCCCGCTGCAAAGACTCCACTCTGCCAGCCTCAAGTTGCAAAGAAGGGCACACCGTAAAGGCTTTTCGGCCCCTCGCAAATGATCATCCGGGAGCATGGGCGCAACCGGCTGCTAGTAGCATGCTACTACGAAAAGCAGATATACGAATTATAATATGAATGCAGAATGTGTCGCCATAAGAATGGCTAGTTAAGCCTACTTACGGTACACAATGCTCAGGTCATTCTGGCGAACCAGAGGCTGATCACAGAGGCCGGGCAGTGCTAGGAAAACGCGGACATAAACATGGTACTATAACCTTGGAAACTACTATGTCGCTTGGTCGTTCTGTGAATTTTTGTAGCATGGTGTTCTGTAAGCATACGAGCATGTCATGTTGTCATGCTAAAAGATACGTGCTCATCCGTTTTGACAAGAGCACACTGGAACATCAGCCGCATGAACAATCAGAGTTGGAGTGGGAGCTGCACCGGATGTTTCGGTTTACGTTTTGTAGCCACTAAGTGCTCCGAGGAAGACTCTGCAATTGCAATGAGCATTGGAGAGGAGTTGTAAATGATCGTGTTCGTCGGTTTGTTGCCAAATAAGCATATACCGGCCGTTCAGCATGCGACACAGGGTCCCAAGGGACGTTCCAAAGTAGTGCTGCTTGCAGTACGTAGGCCAGAGTCACGTGCGCAACCTGGCGCATCATGGCTCCCTGACAGTGCCCAAGTCTACGGTATCAAGCATTTGCATCTCCCCGATGATTTAGATCTCCTCGCTTGCCCTTCAAAGATGACACCGTCCGTCTCTAACCTCCTTGAACCCTAAAATCCGTACACAATTTCAGGTGTCGAGTCTGCCATACCCAACCTAGCGAGAAACCTGGCCAATAAGACCCAAAAGCTCAGCGAATCAAGACTTCCTGGGCGTCGCTACTTTGGAAATCAGACTCTTCGGGCTCGAAGCATAGAGGCTTTGGAGCTTTAACCCTACACTTATCGCCATGCCTGCTTTTGCGAGTGTGTGAGTCGAANNACTTCTGTGGAGCCTTGCCTGCTGCGTGCGAGTGTGAGAGTCGAAACCCTGAACCTTGCTAAGTAGGAGGCAAAAAAACCCTAAACCTTCGTCCAGGCTGGCTTCCCCTTCCCGATTCTCCTGTCGGCCTTCGGTGCGCCAAGCAGACGCAAATTCACGAAACCAGGGGATCCAAGCGAGTTTTGGCGGACGAGAGCATGCAGCCCTGCATTGCCCGGAACTGCACATCGCATGGCATGAATAACTCTTGCAGTCGGACGATTGGATTCTGGTGTAAAATTTGGGGTAGTTATCCGCTGCTGAGGGTTGTGGGAGGCAGATGCTTAGTGCCAGCGCCTCCCGGAATTACGTAAGTGCAAACTACGTCGAAGACCCTTTGCTCGGAAGCGACCACGAGATGTAAACCCATACTGAGGCTCTCTGGGTTTAACGGACCGACGTTTCGGCTCTGAGGATTTTCCACGAACAAACCAAGGCCATCTCCTCACACGATGCAGCCAGAATGGAAAAGAGTCAGGAAGACAACAAAGGTGGGAAGTATGTAATACATCGCCATGTTGAAGGCAGAGCTTGTACCACACGCTTGCGTCATGAACAAGTAGAAGAGGCCTGCAATAGAGGTGCTTCTTCTTCCAGTGGAACGGACATGAATGGACTACTTATGTCAAAAGCCACCCGCAGCTGTGCTTTGCGGCTGAACAAAGCCTGAAGCCAAGCATGGCACACTACTCTGGTCCTGAACCGCAGCGTCGCGATGCAGCTTGGAGAAGTTTTGAAGATACTGTCGGCCGGTGCAGCTAACAGTGCTCGTGCGCATAAAGGGCGCATGGCGAATCCATGGTTCCGTTGTGTAGCACACTTTGGGCCTGAGTTCCAAGCTGCAGCTAACCTTGCGAATTCTCAGATGATCAATCTCGGCGCGAGCTTGATCATAACTGCTGGGATGGCTATGACATCACTTTGGTGGCATCCGAGCTTCAACAGCTGGCACTTTCTACGTACTCACACCGTAAAGCTATCACGTGAGATTCACAACGTTTCCCATGCTTAGCTAGGCTATCATCTGAGTGGGACAGCTACGGCTGCTACTCGACGATGTTGACCTCTCAGTTTGCTGCCATGTTTCGCTTGCTCCTGATCATCATCACCATCAGCATCATCATGATCACCAGCATCGCACAAGCAGACTACGCCTCACTTCTCATGAAGCCCCACGGTGTATGAGTAGACGCACCCAGCGGAGGTCAGACCCTCTTGTATTGTGCTACAACAGCATCCTTGCGGTCGGGCCGCATGGTGGCAGTATAAGGCAGCTTTCAGGCTCAAAAGCTAGTTCGTCAGAGACCGACCTTTTCATGAAAGTGAGAAGATGACGTGTTGAGCAAGCCAAGGCAAGTGAGCCTCCTCACATGGCATTATTTGGACAAGAATCCTCTGGTGGTTCGCTACCACGTCCCTGGACGACCTGAGATTGCCACAGTGCATCGGTCCTTCTTACATCTGCAGTGCCGAACCCAGCTGACACAATTCGGCAAGGATGGTCGAGACATGTCGTGCTTTCTTAAAGTGAGAGGCTCATGGACCGAGACGGGCGTCGCATGGCTTGCTCGAGTAAAGATGTTTGAGAACAAAACCAGGCGCTGGAGCACCTTCACGATTTGGAGCAACACTGCCACTTGGCATATTCAGGAAGAGCGATCATCAGCTGCTGCCCCTAGTGTGTTACCTTTCATACCGCTTGGCTTGGTGTCATTTTGGCATGTCTAGCTTGGCATGTATCTCGCTGGCTGGCCTTAGAGCAATGACGTCTTGCTCAGAACACGGGGTGAAGACGAGGCTCATAGACTGAGTGACCTTTGAAGGTGAGTGGCGCCTTCTTCGTGTTTGCCGCTTTGCAGGGCTGGTCAAGGTCAATGGGTAAGGATGTGACCGCACAAGATGCCGCCTTAGAGTCTCTGCATGCCCTGAAGGAGCTCATCGTCGCTGCTGTGCACCGCTCGGGACTCGGAAAGGAATTGAACGCGAGTTGTCAGTCAAAAACATCACCGTGCTAAAATCCCAGCCCCAGACCTTGCCCAACATCACGTGAGCTTTCGTTGAAGGCAACACAGATCACTTGGGAGCTGCTGTTCCCTTTGGCGTTCTTCGTGACATTCGGCAGAGATCGGCTAAACCGTCTCAAGTATCAAAGGATTCGACTGCTGACTGCTGTTTTCATATTGCGTGCAAGGAACATTGTGGTCAGCTTTGTGCTGATACCTGGAATAAAGAAAATGCGCCGGTTGGCAGCAAGAAGACGTGTCATCAGTGGCGCCAGCCACAGCTCGCACTGGTGTTCTGGCAGGGGACGGAGACAAACTTCGCCGGATTCTTCGCTTGAAGCCACAGGCGTGTGCGAACTCAGTCAATTCGTACACACAGTAGAGGACAGTTGTGGCCTAGTTGTGGTCGTCATGGTCGTCGTAGTCTTAGTGGCAGTGGGAGTGCCAGTGACTCAGTGGCAGCGGTGGTAGGAGCAGTCGTCGTCGTCGTCGTCCTGGTGGTAGTGGGAGTGCTTGTAGAGATCGTATAAGTGCTTGCAGGAGGGGGGGGGAGGAGGAGTTTGAGATACTCGTCATGGATGTCGCCTTCATATCCCGAACACGGGCGGAGAGGTCGTGCTTGAGCTTAGGTAGGGCTTACCTTATGCCCCCATGCTACCGACTCAGTCTCCTTTGCTTGACCCTAACAGTTTGCTTGCACTATGCCCGCATTCGCAGCTGCTCCACAACGGCATGGTGTTGTCAGCAGCCGTCGAAGCCTGGTAACTTGGCCAGAATTGTGCTTTAGTGACTTTAGTGGACAGGGCCTTGTGACAGAGGTCCTGCTACCTTGTGACTGAGGATCGCCCGGCCTCCTTTGCTGCTCTCTCATTTCCCAGTGCTGGCCAGAAGCTAAGCCTCTCCAAGAATTCGGAAAGCGGTTCAGCTTCGCAGCGCTTCGCATCTCGACTCGTTTTGGCCGAGGTTTTGTTCGGAAGCTTCTATGTGGTCTTTGCCTGGTAGCTTCACTGACGTTGGACTTCGCCTGGCCTGCCGTCACACTGTAGCGTACCTGGTGCAACCTCACTCTCGTGTCTTGAGAAGGGATGGTCTAGTCACGCCCACCGCCTCGGCCCCCGCTTGAGCCTCTTGGCTAACCACTGCTTCCCTAAGATGCACAGGCAACCCAGTTAGGACTCGCATTGCCTTTCTGATGTGTTTGCGGCCATATCTTCAGCTTTCAAAAGCGCAGCGAAATGCGCTGGAAGTCCGCAGAGGCAAGCGGAGAGCTTGAAGCACAAACACGGTGGGCTCCAGTAGCGATGATAGACAACGGTTCAGGCAGCACATGCTGCACAAAGCCTCAGTGAAACAGTAATTACTACTTGCTGGTTGCGCATTAAGGCTTCGAAGGCAACGGGGAAGCTCTACAGTTTCGCGCGAGACTTGCTGGCCTTGCCCCTGCAGGGGATGGATGCCGGTCATCGCAAATCCTTGAGTTTCGGGTTGGTTGGCGCGTTTCGAGCAGCTGCCTCCTGGCAGCACACGTCGGATTCCGGGCCTCACATAACAAGACTTGTGCCTCCGCCCATGGACTCCTGATTACACCTGCTCCCTTTGCAACGTTACTTGCGGATGCAAGTTGTATCCAAGCGCAGAAGGCAGAGCTTTTGCAGCAAGGGTTCGGAAAACAGCCAAAGCATCAGACATCAACACATGCAAAAGAATTTAGCTTTGCATTTTCAAGAATGCAGGCAAACTTGCAAGGAGCGTCCCTAACGTGGCACTGGAGGTGGGATCTACGGCGCTTGCTTCTGATCGATTGCTGGGATGCCGGACTGACGTAGTAACGTAGTACGGTGCAACGGAGGAAGAGACAGGCAGACAGAGACAGAATGAGACAAATAGAGTCTGTTAACGAGCTCGGATCTCGATGCTTAAATTTTGCCAAACTGAATCTTTCATGGAAGGCAAGAGGTCTGCCCTTTGAAGACGCCCTTCTTTTGAACGAGGGCTCGCAACAGTACCCTAATTACCACCTTCGCACCGCCAATTCCTAACCAATGCGCCACCGGCTTGAACCCCCAAGCTCAGGCCCGACCTTTAGCTGCTGGGCGGCGCAGCCCAGGCGGCAGGGCATCGAACCTCCTGGCAACATGCTTCCTCGGAACGGTTCAATAGCTGTGGGTCGCGCATGGCTGCATGTCCAAAAGTGCTTGTGATGGTGGTGGTGCTCGTGCTGGTGCTGGTGCTGGTGCTGGTGGTGGTGGTGCAACGCAAGCAGCAGCAGCAGCAGCAGCAGCAACCTCCTGCACTGAACGAAACCGCACTCGCGCATGACATGTCGTGTGCGCACATTTGAACTCCCGAACAATTGCGGGGCCCTCCACCGCTTCAGGCATCTCTGCTGCTCGCCGCAGCAATGCGCAGGCGACCGCACAGCTGCTTGGCTGGGAGATTCCGGATGCTGGTTCCCACGGCGGCCAACAGATGGGCAAGTGTGTTCGAGTGCGCATGTGCACATCTTACAGTGAACTTAGCAGTGACATGATGATGTGACGTTATGTGACGTTTGCGAAGTCGTTGGGGTCGCGGACAAGCTAGCGTGTACGGGCGCTCGACTCCTCCAGATGGATGAAAACTGACTGCATCTTGGACGAGTGACAGTCGCTGCAAACTGGATGTCCTTACAGGCCGCATTGCTTTTGATTGTTTCATCAATTTGTCAGACATCCACAACTGTACCTTTGTTGCCGAGGTCCTCTTTGGCTGAGCTGGCAGAAGGGCCCTACATTATAGTAGCGATGCTTGGCCAAGAGCTGGGTTTTTGGTGCCGGGCTGCTCAGCTCTGGGACTCCAGCGACACCGAGGATGATACTCGACGCCAGCACATTGTCTCTCGGCGCTGATCTTCTGTTCTGGAAGCCCACTGCGGTGCAGGATTCATCGTTAATCATTTGCGAGTGATCGGCCGTATCTTGCTTTGCCAAGGTGCAGCTTGGACACCACATGCCGGCTGCTGCGAGCTCTAAATCGGGCCATTCCGGCTAGCATTTTGTAGAATTCTGAAGGCCAACGTGCCCGGAATAAATGTCACTTCACTCCGAGCCAG